CATGATGCCCCATAGATGTGGGTTCTGCTTCATTCCTGCAGTTCGCCCGTCTCTGAGCTAGGAGACGTTATGGAGTTATAGATGTCCCTGGTCCAAGCGGACGGGCTTTGTCATCCGTCCATATTTCTACGCAGGCACTATCTGCGCGACTTCCTCGGTGGTTTGGGCGTTGGTTTGTTCTTTGCCTGGGCCGACGCCTTAGCTTTCGGCCTGCGTGCATGCCGTGCATGATGCTTCAAATCTGGGAGGCCCCTCAAGTTCCCGATGTCAGGTCTACATCCAAGCTCATCGCCAGTACCGCATCGACATGAAGTTGTTCTACCTGGAGGCGGTGGTCAGACCATGTGGAGCCGATCCGAGCAGACAATTCCGGGTAAGCAGAGCTAGTGTGAACTTCTTGTGTCTGCTGTGGCGTGAACAGGCTCCTGAGCACAAGATCAACTGGGTAGTTCCTCGCGGAGACCTGTAAGATGCTGCACCATGAAAGAGCACATCTCGATTCCGTAGCTGATTATCTTTTCCGAGTGATTCAACGAATGTGACAGAGCGTGTGGCGTTCCTGCTTGGGCTTATGCCGCGTTAGTAAGGAAGGCGGTAAGCATGATCCAGCATTCAATCAAAGAGGCAGCGCCACACCGAACGAAGATGAAGTGGAGGAACCACGTGCTGTGTGCGAATGCAAAAGCAGCCAGAGCTGAGTACTCCTGGATCGACAGACCGTGATGGAGGAAAGCTTGCATGGGCCCAGGTTGGGTGCTCGGGGCTTTGCCGAGATTGTCGGAGCCTCAGAAAGAATACAAGCATGAGATATGCGAGAGTCAGCAGATTGGCTGTGGTTGCGATCTGATTCGCTACAAATTTGGCCCAGGAGAGCTTAGAAAAGCCTTGTGCTCTTCAGGGCTCTCGACTGCCATGGCGATGATTACAGGCTGCACTCGGCGCCTTACGGCGAAGGTGAAGTCCGTGAAGGCGTGCCATGTTTCTGGACTCTTTGAAGGTTGCAACTTGAGTTTTCGCCCCTTTAAGGCACTTCCCTCCGGCCTTTGTGCATCCCGCTGCCTGTCGCCGTTGGGCCCTATGATGCTGCAGCAGCGACAGCTGCACCAGAGCACGCCTCGTTTCAATACTGCGCCTTGGCAACACAGACATGCCAGTGCTTAGTTTGCTTGAGCTTGTGGACGACGTGAGTGACTTGAGGCAGTCAACCCAGGCTGGCCAGCAGCCTGGCCGCCACAAAGGCTTTCTGTGGCCATACTTGAGCTTGGTTGCAAAAGCGGTGCTTGAGGTGATGTGGACGAACGTTTACG